AGCGTGAGGAACCTTCTCCTCAGCGTGAGGAACCTTGTCCTCAGCGTGAAGAACCTTGTCCCAAGCGTGAGGAACCTTGTCCTCGGTGTGAGGTACCTTGCCCTCAGGGTGAGCTACCGTGTCCTCAGCTTGAGAAACATTGTCCTCAGTGTGAGGTACCATGTCCTCACCGTGAGGAACCTTGTCCTCAGTGTGTGGGACCTAGTCCTCAGTGTGAGGTACCTTGTCCTCAGTGTGAGCTACCTTGTCCTCAGTGTGAGGTACCTTGTCCTCAGCGTGATGAACGTTGTCCTCAGCGTCAGGAACCTTGTCCTCAGTGTGAGGTACCTGGTCCTCAGTGTGAGGTACCTTATCCTCAGCGTGAGGAACCTTCTCCTCAGCATGTAGGAACCCTGTCCTCAGCGTGAGGAACCTTGTCCTCAGCGTGAGGAACCTTGTCCTCAGCGTTAGCAGCCTTGTCCTTAGCGTGAGGAACCTTGCCCTCAGAGTGAGGAACCTTGTCCTCAGTTTGAGGTACCTTGTCCTCAGTGTGACGTACCTTGTCCTCAGCTTGAGGAACCTTGTCCTCAGTGAGAGGTACCTTGTCCTCAGTGTGAGGTACCTTGTCCTCAGCGTGAGGCACCTTGTCGTCTGCGTGAGGAAACTTGTCCTCTTCGTGAGGAACCTTGTCCTCAGCGTGAGGAACCTTGTCTTCAGCGTGAGGAACCCTGTCCTCAGCGTGAGGAACCTTCTCCTCAGCGGAGAAACATTGTCCTCAGTGTGAGGTACCTTGTCTTCAGCTTGAGGAACATTGTCCTCAGTGTGAGGTGCCATGTCCTCAGCGTGAGGAACCCTGTCTCAGCATGAGGAACCTTGTCCTCAGTGAGATGTACCTTGTCCTCAGCGTGAGGAACATTGTCCTCAGCGTGAGCAACCTTGTCCTCAGTGTGAGGTACCTTGTCCTCACTGTGACATACCTTGTCCTCAGCGTGAGAAACCTTCTCCTCAGCGTGAGGAACCTTGTCCTCAGTGTGACGTACCTTGTCCTCAGCTTGAGGAACCTTGTCCTCAGCATGAGGAACCTTGTCGTCAGTGTGAGGTACCTTGACCTCAGTGTGAGGTACCTTGTCCCCAGCGTGAGGAACCTTGTCCTAAGTGTGAGTTACCTTGTCCTCAGCGTGAGGCACCTTGTTGTATGCGTGAGAAAACTTGTCCTCTGCGTGAGGAAGCTTGTCCTCAGCGTGAGGAACCTCGTCCTCTGCGTGAGGAACCTTGTCCTCAGCGTGAGGAACTTTGTCCTCTGTGTGAGGTACCTTGTCCTCAGTGTGAGGTACCTTGTCCTCAGCGTGAGGCACCTTGTTGTATGCGTGAGGAAACTTGTCCTCTGCGTGAGGAACCTTGTCCTCAGCGTGAGGAACCTCGTCCTCTACGTGAGGAACCTTGTCCTCAGCTTGAGGAACCTTGTCCACAGTGAGAGGTACCTTGTCCTCAGCTTGAGATACCTTGTCCTCAGCGTGAGGTACCTTGTACTCAGCGTTAGGAACATTTTTCTCAGCGTGAGGAACCTTGTCTTCAGCGTGAGGAACCCTGTATTCAGCGTGAGGAACTTTGTCCTCAGTGTGAGGTACCTTGTCCTCAGTGTGAGGTACTTTGTCCTCAGCTTCAGGAACCTTGTCCTCTGTGTGAGGTACCTTGTCCTAAGTGTGAGGTACCTTGTCGTCAGTGTGAACCCCTTCTTGAAGCTTGAGGAACTTTGTCCTCTCAGTGTCAGGTACCTTTCCTGAGCGTTGGGACCTTGTCTCAGCGTGAGGAACCTTGTCCTCGCCGTCATGAACCTTGTCCTCAGCATGAGGAACCTTGTCCTCAGTGTTAGGTACCTTGTCCTCAGTGTGAGGTACCTTCTCCTCAGCGTGAGGAACCTTGTCCTCAGTGTCAGGAACCTTGTCCTGGGCGTGAGGAACCCTGTCCTCAGTGGGAGGTACCTTGTTCTCAGTGTGAGGTACATTTTTCTCAGCTTGAGGGACCTTGTCCTCTGTGTGAGGTACCTTGTCCTCAGCGTGAGTAACCTTGTCCTCAATGTGAGGTACCTTATCCACAGCTTGAGGAACCTTGTCCTCAGCTTGAGGAACCTTGTCCTCAGCGTGAGGAACCTTGTCCTCAGTGTGAGGTACCTTGTCCTCAGGGTGAGGTACCTTGTCCTCAGCGTGAGGAACCTTGTCCTCACCTTGAGGGACCTTGTCCTCTGTGTGAGGACCTTGTCCTCAGCGTGAGGAAGCTTGTCCTCAGCGGGAACAACCTTGTCCTCAGCGTGAGGAGCCTTGTCCTCAGTGTGAGGTACCTTGTCCTCAGTGCGAGGTACCTTGTCCTCAGCTTGAGGAACCTTGTCCTCAGCGTCAGGTACCTTGTGCTCAGTGTTAAATACCTTGCCCTCAGTGTTGGGTACCTTGTCCTCATCGTGATGAAACTTGTCCTCAGCTTGAGGAACCTTGTTCTCAGCGTGAGGAACCTTGTCCTCAGCGTGAGGAACCTTGTCCTCAGTGTGAGGAACCTTGTCCTGGGCGTGAGAAACCCTGTCCTCAGTGGGAGGTACCTTGTTCTCAGTGTGAGGGACATTTTTCTCAGATTGAGGGACCTTGTCCTCAGTGTGAGGTACCTTGTGCTCAGCGTGAGGAACCTTGTCTTCAGCGTCAGGAACCTTGTCCTCAGCGTGACGAACCTTGTCCTGGGCGTGAAGGACCTTGTGCTCAGTGGGAGGTACCTTGTCCTCAATGTGAGGTATCTTGTCCGCAGCTTGAGGAACCTTGTCCTCAGCGTAAGGAACCTTGTCCTCAGTGTGACGTACCTTGTCCGCAGTGTGAGGTACCTTGTCCTCAGCGTGAAGAACCTTGTCCTCACCTTGAGGGCCTTGTCCTCTGCGTTATGACCTTGTCCGCAGCGTGAGGAAGCTTGTCCTCAGCGGGAGCAACCTTGTCCTCAGCGTGAGGAGCCTTGTCCTCAGTGTGAGGTACCTTGTCCTCAGTGTGAGGTACCTTGTCCTCAGCTTGAGAAACCTTGTTCTCAGCGTGAGGAACCTTGTCCTCAGTGTGAGGTGCCTTGTCCTAAGTGTGAGGTACCTTGAAAGGCATTTTCTCATTGCTTGTTCCCAGTAATCAACCGGGAAATACCAAGTCTTAAATGTTCCTCTGGCCGCCAGGAGGTAATCAGAAGCCAAGACGTTCAACCACCAGGCGTCAGCCCTCCTGCAGAATTTGGTGTTGGAAAGTATACTGTCATATGTACATACGGTTACCTGAGAGGAACCAAGGTGGTGAAACTGCAATGCCCAATCAAAATTTATGTCACAGGTATGTAGGAAAGCGCGGGGGTGTAATACGATTAATTTAAGGAAAACATGTTTTGTACACACGTAATAATCATACAACTTGTCAACAAGTTGTGTTCGCAAAAGGCTTGTAGCAAGCTTGTCAACCAGTTGTAACAATACTGTTATCAGTCAAGTTGCTACACCGCGTTGTCACTTGGGAGAGGTCATTATTTATGGGGAGGGTTTTTTTTGCGTTTACCGAGGTTACCCTTATAAATAGGGGTGTCAAAAAAGTTAACACAGAGAAGGGGGGGGG